CACCAGTGTCCTACAGTCGGGGACACCGGGCCTGCCCTGTCGGTTCCTGACTCAGATCTCAAAGCTCTAGAATGCAGGTAGGCGGGCGATCTCGAGGCACTCACCTGAGGCAGGGCTCCACCCGCAGCCTCCACGATCACCATCGGGCTCCACAGGATGGTGGGGCCCTGGGACATGGCTTAGCCCTACTCCAAGCCTGGATCAGGTCACACGTGTCGTTACAAACCTCAGACCCGTCTCTATGACAAAGAACAAACGCTTCTAACGTTCCGGTTTTCCTGTCATGGCCAACTCAGATGAAACCAGTTTTCTGTGAACCATACTGACGGGTCCAGGAAGTTACAAAGACTCTCCTTCACGTAGAGCCAAAAGTCCCGCCCAACGGTCATTGTCGTCACTGAACTACCAATTTTCATTGGTTGAGCTTCTTGCAATGATTTCTGGGCAATGTAGTTCAAATAGGATCAAATAGCTCTGGACACAACTGCCCAGATGGAGGAGACTCAGTTTCCATGGACTTCATGGGACTGGTGTGGAGAATATTGTAATTATAGACGCCCCAATATTTTCTACCTGAGGTAAGTTGGGTGTGGGTTAGAAAGAGGGAGTGAGCTACAAGGTCGAGCTTGCTGCCCCAGAAGCATCCAAAAAATTACAAGTTTCTGCCATCTTCTTGGTTGACGACCAGAGCTAAAAGATAAAAGACACTAATGCTGAATACACCACACATCTTTGATTGCAAGATATCCCTACAGGCTTTTTGTTTGTTTATTGTTGTGTTTTTGTTGTTTTGTTTATTCATTTTTGAGACAAGGGAGTCTCTCTGTAGCCCTAGCTTTTCTGGAACTCGTGACGTAGACCAAGCTAGCCACAAGCTCAGAGATCCACCTACTTTTGCTGGAATTAAAGGCATGTACCACCCACCCCCACACTGGAGTTATTTTTAGAGATTAATCTGTGTGTGTTTGTGCATGCATGTGCTTCTGGGTGTGTGGACTTGGTCCAGCTGCAGTACCTTCTTTACCATCATGGGCTCCCTGCCCTGAAACATAAACCAGACAGTATAAATCTCAAGTCCCCTGTATTGTATATATTAAATATTTGGTCATACTGATGAGAAAAGTAACTAATAGAGCTCTCATAATTATCAGCCATCCTTTAGAATTGTGTCTATTATGTTATTATGTGTCTATTATTAGAACAAGTTTCTTGTATGGTCCTTTTCCTTTTTCCTTTTCTTTCTTCCTTTTTTATTTTTCAGCAGGGTCTCTCTATGTGGACTGGCTGTCCTAGAACTCTATGTAGATCAGCAGGCTGGCCTTAGACTCAAAGAGATCTGCCTGCCTCTGCCTCCCAAGTGCTGGGGATAAAATCTTGAGCCCACATTATCCTTCAGTAAGTAGTATTTTCATTTGCATTTGATTATATGAATTTTTAAATTTTCCTTCTGATTTCTTCATTGATCCACTGGTCACTCAAGAGCAATGGCCAATTGCTTTTTCTTTGCATAGTTTCTAATAGTTTTTTTTTTTTTTGCTATTGACATTTATTTATTTATTTATTTATTTATTTATTTATTTATTTATTTTTGGTTTTTTCGAGACAGGGTTTCTCTGTGTAGCTTTGCGCTTTTCCTGGGACTCACTTAGTAGCCCAGGCTGGCCTCGAACTCACAGAGATCCGCCTGCCTCTGCCTCCCGAGTGCTGGGATTAAAGGTGAGCACCACCACTGCCCGCCTTGCTATTGACATTTATTTTTATTGCACTGCGATATGAGTAGATATAAGTAATGATTTTGATTCTTTTGTATTTGTTAAGATATCATTTACAATGAGCACAGTGGTGCACACCTTTAATCCCAGCACTCGGGAGGCAGAGGCAGGTGGATCTCTGTGAGTCTCAGGCCAGTCTGGTCTACAGAGCGAGTTTCAGGTCAGCCAGGGCTGTTACATAGAGAAACCCTGTCTGGAAAAACCAAACCAAAATGAACAAACCTAATCAAACAAACAAACAAAAACATAATTTATAGCCTACAATGTGATCTATGTTAGAAAATACTCCATGGGCTACTGAGAATTCATCTTCAATAGTTGTTGTTTGAAATACTTTTTTTTCAATTTTGATGTGTACATGTGTTTTGCACACATGTCTGTTTGTGGATCACTCCCATCTGTCCAGCCCATTTGCAATGGTCTGAAGATCTCTTGCAATTATTTCTTCACTGTTTTTTTAAAATTATTTTTCATTATCTAGGGGACAGGTCTTTTGATGACAATGAGGTATTGAAGTCACCCACTATGAATGTATCTGTACATATTTATCTGTTCATGTCTAGCAATGTTTATTTTAGAAAATCATATCCCTGAATTGGTGCATATATATTTATTATTCCAAGTTCTTAACAAATTGTTCTTCATATTAATATGTTGTAGCATGTTTTATCTATTCCAATCTTAGGTAAGGTATAATTTAACAGATATATGTTTAACTGCTCATGGTTAGTTTATATCTTCCATGTGCTTTGACATTGTTTTACATTTTACATTATAAATCTCTTTGTGAGTGATTTATTTATTGTAGACAAAAATCAGTTAGATTTTTCTTTGAACCCAAGCAGTTGGTCTTTGTCTTATAACTATAGAGCTCAAACTATTAGTAGATAGGTTAATTACTGGGGACTATTTGTTGATTCTGGTAATTTGTTGGTTGTTCATGTTTGGTTGGATTATTTGTTCATTCTTTCTCTTCAATTTCTTTTCGGAACTTGCTGATTTCGTGAGTGGGACATGACTGACAATTTTCTGGCTCTCCTTTATTTATGTCTTCATGTCTTTCTTGTATACTCATGATTAAGAAAGTCCTCCTTCAAACAAAACATACTGATGCATGGCTGTAATCCCAGAACTTGGGATTTGAGGATGATATTCAATACCATCCTTAGTGTGTCAACAACTCTTTCACAGGGGTCACCTAAGACTGTCAGAAAACACAAGTAGTTACATTATGATTCGTAATAGTAGCGTCACTATAGTTATGAAGTAGCAACAAAAATATTTTTTGTGGTTGGGGGTCACCACAACATGAGGAACTGTATTAAAGAGACAGCATTAGGAAGGTTGAGAAACACTGCTTTAGTGTATGCTTAATTTTCATTCTATTTCATTCTATTTTCTTTTGTGCAGGATGTCTGCCCTTCAGTCTGGGAAAGCATGAATGGGCAGAAGATCATGTGTCACATGTCTCTGTTCATAGGCATAATTATACTCTTTACATTAGGAATGAATATGGCTATACCTTCATGGTTAGAGAATTCTCACCTCTTCAGAGTAAAATGCCTTACATCAGCAAGTTGACTAAATGCCTAAGCCTTGAGAGATCAAAGGAGACAGCTGGGCATGTTGGCATTCAGGCAATCTAAGTTCTCAGGAGACTGGGGGAGGAGAAGAAAGAGTTTGAGGACATCTGGGATCAATAGTGAGACCTTGTCAGAAAATAAAAATGGAAAAACAAAAACCCACAGACTGTGATATTTTTCACAGAAATATCAAAAACTTTTAAAACAATAAGAGAAAACAAATTTTTCTGTTTTCTTTTTTTATTCGTGTGTGTGTGTGTGTGTGTGTGTGTGTGTGTGTGTGTGTGTGTGAGAGAGAGAGAGAGAGAGAGAGAGAGAGAGAGAGAGAGAGAGAGGTTCATACTATGTAGCATTGGTATTCACCATGTAAACCAGGCTTTACTTCAACTCACAGATACACCTATCTCTGTCTCTTAGCTTGGAAACCAGTTTTTTTTTTTTTAAATAAGCACATACACAAACAAAAAGCAAAAAGTAAATAATAAAAGAAAATTAGCAAAAAAAAAATGTGGGTGCTAAGTGTGATGGTTCACTCCCCCCGCCCCCAAGACAGGGTTTTGCTGTGTAGCTTTGGAGCCTGTCCTATAGACCAGGCTGGCCTTGAACTCACAGGGATCTGCCTGCCTCTGTCTCCCAAGTGCTGGGATTAAAGGCGTGCACTACCACGCCCCAACTTCACATCTTTAATGTCAGCACTCTGGAGGCCGAGACAGGTGGATCTCTTTCAGTTCAAAGCCAGCCTGGTCTACAGAAGGAATCCAGTACATCCAAGGCTAAATAGTGAGTGAAAAAATGAAAGAAGGAAAGAAAGAAGAAAGAAAGAAGGAAGGGAGGAAAGGGAGGTAGGAAGGGAGGGAGGGAGAGAGAAAGGAAGAAAGGAAGGAAGGAAGGAAGAATAAAAGGAAGGAAGGAAACCTGAGTTAGGAGAACAAAGAAATGGCTCATTGGCTAACAGTAGCTGCTATTCTTGCAGATAACCTTGGTTCCATTCCCAGTACTGACTAGAAATTCACAAGGATCTATAACTCTAGTTCAGGGGGCTCTGATGGCCACTCTGACCTGCAAGGGGACCAGACACACATATGGTACACACACATACCTGCAGGTTCTAACATAAATGACAAAATTAAATAAATCTTTATAAAAATATATGACCATAATGAAAAAATGAAACTACAATCATATGCTACTACATAGTTGTTGAAATGACTCATGTGAACACCTCACAACTTATAAAGTGTCAGGGAGGATGTGACAAACTGGTATGTGAAATACTTCAGGAGGAAATCTGAAACACACAGCCAATTAGAACTGAATCTGGTAACTTCTTAAAAACTTAAAACTTGGGCTGGAGAGAGGACTCAGTATTGAAGACCACTTGCTATTTTTGCAGAGGACCTGGGATCCATTTCCAGCAAACACACTGACTGGTTCACAACCATCTGTAACTCCAATTCTGGGCAATCCAATACCATTTTTACCAGGCATGTACTCAATGTACGTACAGATATGCAGAAAAAATACTTATGCCTGAAAAAACAACAAATACCTAAAGCATATGGGCTATACTCCTACATGAGAGCATAAGGTGCTACATAGAGCTGGTCCCCAACAAAACTAGTGACACTTAGGAACAATACAGTCAGGAAGACAATACAGCAAACAATTGTTTATTCCAGGAACTGCAACATTTAGTGAGAAAACAAGTGCAAACAAACAACTATAACAACAAAAACCATGTCTTATTTAAACTGAGACCACACTGTTCCTCCTCCATTCAAACTCAGTCACTTGGAAACTCCATTCCACACTGGTGCAGTCAAGAACACAGGGCTTGGCCTAGTGGTGGTGCATGTGTCTTTAATCTCAGCACTTGGGAGGCAGAGGCTGGCTGATCTCTGAGTTCGAGGCCAGCCTGGTCTACAGAGCTAGTTCCAGGACAACCTAGGCTACACAGAGAACTCTGCCTCAAAAAAGCAACCCTTCACCCCACAAAACATAAAAAAAAAACCAAAACAGGCCTTTCTTTTGCTAAGTTTCCTAGAAAACATTCATTTTTTGGGGGGAGGGGATAGGAAGATGGCAATAATTCTCATCTTTTTCCAATGTTCTTATTTGATGAGTAACTTTCAATGAATGACTCCCTCACAAAGGTCACTTTTAGGATAAATTTGGCCAATGGCTAAAGATTTTCTCTGCATTCACAGACCTATCTGAGTTGTGCATATGTTACTAATAAGAGCAGAAATTTGCTCAAAGGCTTTCCCAGAATCAGTGGGTTCATGATGCATCCCAGCACCGTGGCCTCTCCAGTTGAACAGGATGGAGGTGTGGGTGAAGGCTCCTCACAATTCAAACATTCTTGATTTTGGTCCAGTGAACGTTCCCTTGCATGTATATAGTAGATGAGGAAAACAATTTCCCATGTTCATGGCACTCAATACTTCTATTCAGTATGAGTCTTCTTGTGTCTAGAAAGTCCAGTCCTGTAGCAAAACACTTTCCCACATTCCTTGCACTCATGATGCTTTGTTGCAGTGTGAAATCTCTGGTGTTTAATGAGGATATACCTCACAGTAAAGCATCTCCCACATACATTACACTTAAAAGGTTTCCCTCTGCTGTGAACTTTTCGGTGTTTCACGAGATGTGAGTTCTTTTTAAAACTCTTCCCACATTGGCTGCACTCAAAAGGCCTCTCCCCAGTGTGCATTCGGGCATGATAAACGAGGCTGGATCTTTCTTTAAACAATTTTCCACACTCGCTGCACTTGTAAGGCTTTTCTCCAGTATGAAGTCGATTATGACGAATGAGGCTGGATTTGTTCATATACGATTCCCCACACTGGCTGCATTTATAAGGCCTTTCTCCAGTGTGAACTCTTTGATGCCCAACAAGGGAGCGACTATGTTTGAAATCTTTGCCACATTCACTGCATCTGAAAGGCTTCTCGCCAGTGTGAACTTTGACATGTTGATTCAGATCAGCCTTTTGGATGAAGGATTTCTCACAGTCACTGCACTTAAAAGGCTTTTCTCCAGTGTGTATCCTCCGGTGTCGAATAAGCAGAGACTTACAACTGAAGGATTTGCCACAGTCACAGCATTTGTAGTTCCTCTTCTCACTACGAATAGCCTTTTTTCTTTTAGTGCTCCTGGGTGGCTCCTCACTACCGTGAGTCACAGGATGCCCAAGAGGACCTGAGGGAGTCTGCAGGTCCATCCCACGGTCTGTGCTTTGTAAACTCTTCTGTGAAAAGTCACTTTTCTTGCACTCCACAGCTGGAATCCTGCTCCTTGCTCTCTGTAAGGATGTCTCAGTGCAGCCCAGCTGTGGTGGTGGGAGCATGGTCCCATTAAGCCCTGCTTCCACGGAAGTGTTCTGCTTACAAGGTATCTTTTCAACCACAATTCCTTTGCAGCAATCCAAACATAGAGAAACAATGATAAAGGATACATCGACTTGGAGGCAGCAACACCCACAAGGGATCAGTACCTGAGGTGTCTCATGAAACTTCCAGATGGGAAGGGCCTATTATGGTGATGAAGCTGAAGATCCCTGTCCCAGGAAACCTCATGAGCAACATCATGAGGATGGCATGCAGCACAAGGAGGGGTGGTGGGGACCTGAACTCCTTCCTTAGAAAATGGCTTTCTGCAGAGCCCCAATTGTTGGAGACTGTCCTGGTTGGGTTTTTTTTTTCTCTGCTTGGCACAAGCTAGGGTCATCTGAGAATAGGGGACCTCAACTGCAAAAGTGCCTCCATAAAATAATCAAGGGTTATTTCTTTTTATTAACATTGATGTAGGTGAGGCCAGCTCATCGGGGGTGGTGCCACCCCTGGTCAGGCGATCCCAGCTGAGCAAGCCATGGGGAGCAAGCCAGTAAGCAGTGTTCCTCCCTGGCCTCTGCTTCAGTTCTTGAGTTGAATTCCTGCCTTGAATTATTCTTAGTGATGAACCCATTACTTGGAAATGTAAGATGAAATAAATCCTTTCCTCTTCAAGTTGTTTTTGGTCATGGTTTTATCACAGTAATAAAAACTTTAAGACAGAGATGCTTAACTCAATGCAGAAGGCTGTGTCTATGGCCATTAAATACAACACCCAAAGAACCCATATTCAAGGACTGCTCAGGGGACTTGTGCCTACTAACAACACAATCAAGGAAATCCAGTGTTATATAGTGCTACAGGGGAGCAGGCAAAACACACAAGACTCACAGGAGAGAGAGAGTCCTGGCTCTGAAATAATAACAATGTCTGGTAGGCAACTGGGCAAACATAGGCAGATGGACTCTACCATGATCCTTTGCTCTGGCACCAAAACATCAGAACCAATAGAAAGATACTTCATATAAACCCATCCAGAGTGCATACATCAGCAACCTCCACCCTCCCAAATACCATCCACATACTTGGAGTCAGGAATCTCAGTGCAGGAATGAAGGGATCTGAAGACTCCAGCTGAGTGATGTTACGGGTCCCAGAAGGTATGAGTCCTAAAGTAAAGAGCAGGACAGGTGAATGTCCCATACCAAGTCAGAGTGATGTAACTCATGGCAATCCATAGGAAAGAAAACTAATGACAAAGACCCTTGGAGAGATCTTGCAAAAAAATCCACCAAATACTGTCCATATCAGTGTCACAATTCCTGCCACAGGCAGACCCAAGTCACCTAGAGGAAGAGAACAGTACCCAGGACATAGGAACGCTGTGTATTTACATTGTCGTGGAGAGGCCATCAGTGTGAACTCTTGAAGCTACTATAATCTTCCTGTATTTAGGAGAAAGAAGATGGTAGTGTACCCTGCCCATGTCTTTCACCTGTATTTCTACTCCAGGACAGTGGGGAAAGAGTCAGTGGTCCATGGGCCAGTTTGGGAAGAAGACATCTCTCTCTAGAAAAGAAGTCAAACCAGATGGTTGGTTGCTCTTACAGAATGTTGTGGGGGAGGCTTACCCAATGAGGACATGAGAACAAAGACCTCCATCATCACATGGTGGTAGAGACGCCTCTGAGAGTCATCAAGCAGTGTCCATTCCTCCCTCAAGAAGTAGATAGCCACGTCGTTAAAGGCCATACAACCCTGCCACAACAGAGATCATTGAGTCAATTTAACTTGACATCCCAAAGGCAGCCCCTTGCACTTAGCTTCCTTCTGCAGAGGGCACCAGGCTCTTCATCCATTGACATTCAGTCTCTTCTCAAGGTTGCAGTGAACACTATATTCAGCACCAGCCACAACAGATGAATGAAATTCACCCAGTCTTGATTTTGGTGTGGAAAGTTCCACCTTTCTACCAGACAATTTACATAGGTTCCTCCACATCATGCTAACCAAATTTGTGCAGATCTGAGTCACTGTTCTCCACTATAACCCTAGCATGTGAGCTGAGAGCCCATCTGTTCATTCTTTCAGTTATTATGTACATCATTTTTCACTCTTCATGTCCCTCCATTTCCCATTTTAGTATTCAAGACCACAGCTTCTCATCTACTGTACCACTCCCAACTGCTGCCTTCCACCACATCCAGCAAATCTCATGTACACCCCAGGACTTCTGAGTATTCCTTTTTTTTGGGGGGGGCGGTTGAGACAAGGTTTCTCTGTGTAGCTTTGGAGCCTTTCCTGGAACTCGCTCTGTAGCCCAGGCTGGCCTCGAACTCACAGAGATCCGCCTGTCTCTGCCTCCCGAGTGCTGAGATTAAAGGCATGTACTACCACCACCCAGCTTCTGAGCATTCCTAATCCATCCTACTTCCAGGCATTTTCTAATACTCATCACTGGAACTTGCATACCTCTGAATCTTAAGGAAGTGGCTTCCATAAATGGAACCTATCCATATAATTTTGTGCTCTGGACTCAGAGACCTTATATTCTATAATCATCTTCCATATAAATCAGATGGAAGGATAGGAGAATAGCAAGTAAAGACTCCCAAAGCATCGTAATCCCAGCCATCACTTATGAGGGAATTGAAGTGGCACCCTCCACTTACCTCTTTACAGTCAGTCGATGTCTTTGCTCCTACTGCAACCTGTGGATAAAGAAAGCTGTGAGTAAAGAGCAATGATGTTGGCATCCTGAAGGACCATCCAAGCCCCCCCTCATACCTCAGTCAGGCATATCTAAGCTGAGCTTCAGATCTCAGTGACGTCTCTTATTAACTGTGCCCTTAGACAAATCATCAGCTCCTCAATGTTGTCTTCTGGAACACGGGAATGAGAACGACACCCATTCCTTGACGGGAGTATTGTTGTACTACACTCAGTCCTACATCATGTCAAGTACTGTGTGCAGTCCTTCCTGGATGTATAATACTGTAGTCAAGACTTTTAGCACGAATGGGCACTGCCAGGCTGTTGTTATAGTTCCAGGGTTCACAGCTGGTTCAGATCAGTGCTTACTTTTCTCCTCTGGTGGCAATGCATAGCACCTTCCAGCACTATAAAAGAGTATTTTGTAGGGACGAAGCTTCCAGGTGAGTGCCAGTGTGACTTCTCTGTGTTTTATGACTCAAGTGTGATGGGTCTTCAGCAATAGGGTCTTACTGTCAAGTTCTGAAAAGTAGTGCACTGGCAATAGCCTGTAATGTTTGGTGGCCTATGAGACCTCACTGGCCAACAACTCCAAAAGTAGTAACCTGTTCTTGGCACTAGGATTCTTATTTGTTAGTCTGTAGTGTCTAGTCAGGGGTGGGGAGAACTATTTCCCAGTATACTGGTCAGTTCTGTCAACTTAAGAAAAACTTAGACATATCTAGAAACAGGGAATGTCAACTGAGAAATTGTCATCTGATTGTTCTATGAGCACGTGTATAGGGGATTTCCTTGATTAGTGATTGATGTGGGAGGACATAACCTACTGTGGACATTGCCACTCCTGAACAGGTGGACCTGCATAGTATAAAAGCAAGCTAAGGGCTGGAGAGATGCCTCAGAGGTTAAGAGCACTGGCTGCTCTTCCAGAGGTCCTGAGTTTAATTCCCAGCAACCACATGGTGGCTCACAATCATCTGTAATGAGATTTGGTGCCCTCTTCTGGCCTGAAGACATACATGCAGACAGAACGCTGTATACATAATAAATAAATAAATTTGATCTGAAGAAGAAGAAGAAGAAGAAGAAGAAGAAGAAGAAGAAGAAGAAGAAGAAGAAGAAGAAGAGAAGAAGAAAAGGAGAAGAAGAAGAAACAAGCTGAACAAGCTGAGCAAGCCATGGGGGAGCCTGCCAAAAAGCTACATTTCTCTGTGGTTTCTGTTTCAGTTCCTGCCTTGAGTCCTGCCCTAAGTATGTCAATGATGAACTATGAAATAGAAGTATAAGCCATTGTGATGGCTAGTTTTATGGCAACCTGACACAAGCTAAAGTTATCTGAAGGTAGGGAATCTTATGGAGAAAATGCCTCTATAAGATTGGCTGTAGGGAATTTTCTTAGTGATTTATAATAGAGAGCCCAGCCAATGGTGCCTGGTGCCCTGGGTTCTACAAGAAAGCAGTCTGAACAAGCCATGAGGAGCAAGCCTGTAAATAGCATCCCTCCATGACTTCTGCATCAGTTCCTGCTTTCCTGACCTGTTTGAGTTGCTGTGCTGACTTCCTTTAATGATGAAGTGCTGTGGAAGTGTGAGCCAAATAAACCCCTTCCTCCCTAAATTGCTTTGGTCATGGTATTTTGTCACAACAGTAGAAATCCTAACTAAGACATCCAAATAAACCCTTTCCTCCAAAGTTTGGTTTTGATCACAGCAAGAAAAAAAAGCACACCCCATTATAGAGAAATTGTGTGTATGTGTGTGTGTGTGTGTGTGTGTGTGTGTGTGTGTGTGTGTAAGCTTCTATAGTAGGGGGTTTCTATGTGATCTTTTTATTTGTTTGCTCATTTTTTTTTATTTTTTTTTCTTTTTGAGACAGTATCTCTCTACATTGACAGATCTGGCTGTTCTGGGACTCACTATGTAGACCTGGCTGGCTTCAATCTCACAGAAATCCACCTGCCCCTGCCTCCTGAGTGTTGAGATTAAAGGCATGAGCTACCACATCCATCTCCCATATGATTTCTCAAAAAGTCTTCAGTGCTATTTATCTCTCCCCAATCCCCTCTCTACCCTTACCTCCCACCCTCACCTCAATTTAACCTTTATTGTTCCATTATTCCCTTGTCCCCTTTATGTACCTTTATACTACTACATACTATCTTTCCCCCACCTTGAAAGCCCCCCACGCCCATTCCCCAACCTCCAAATTTAACACAAACATCTGAAGATCCAAAGTTAGCGTTCAAAAATGAGAGAAACCATACAACATTTCTCTTTCTGGACATGGGTTGCCTTACTCCAAATGACTGTTTCCCACTCCATCTCTTTACCTGTGATTTTCATAATTTTGTTTTTTCTTAACAGTGGGATAATATTCAATTGTGTGAATGTACCACATTTTCATTGTCCAGCATCAGTCAAGGAACATCTAGGCTGTTTCTATTTCTGGTATTGTGAACAGAATAGCAAGGGACATGGATTTACTCATCAACCACTTTCTGATTGGATTTAAGTCCTGCCTCACAAGATGAACTCCAATCCTGACACCATTCTAGGGCCAAGAATCTCTGTCTATGCAGGTCCAAGGCCCTGGAGGAAAATATACTATCATTCTGCTCCATGGACATGGTGTGTTAAACTGATTCTCAGTGCCTTATTGTTACACCCAGTGCCATATTGTTACATCAATCATCTCTCAACCCTCATCAGAGAAGTTTCTCTTTGCAGAAAATGGTAATCAATACAATGACCCACAACTAGGCAAGATGCAGAGAATAAGAGATTTTGGAATGCTTAGCCCTGCACTGACTCGCCTTCCCATGGCTTAGGAGTCACCGGGAAAGGGGGAGTGATGGAAAGAATGTAAGGGTCAGAGGTAGCCGATAACTACAAGGAAACAGCAAGGCAGCTGCATGTATGAACTCACGACAATTGTGATAGCATACACAAGAGCTGGGCATAGTCAAGCCAGACCATGGAAAGGGTCCTTAGACACCAAGTCCTACTCTTTACCAAAGAGCTCTTGTCGCTGATAGCTTTTGGGAGAGCACGAGTCAGTTTTCTTTAAGAGTACAGTTCTTGGTAAGTCAACCAAACTCCAGTAGAAGGCTATATATATACCCAAGAATATATAGCTAACACAAATTGAACTTGATGGTTTGGATAGGGAAGCAGGTAGGTCTGGGAGGACCTAGAGGAGGGGATGAATATGATTAAAAGACAGTGAAAGAAATTCTCAAAGAACTAATCATTTCCCCCTCAAAACCAAATATGTGGGTATGCTTTTATAAACCATGCATTTGATTTATATACACTTATTTAAGAATGTGATTTTTGGGGCCCGAGAGATGGCTCAGCTATTACGAACACTGGTTGCTCTTTCATAACAGAAGACCTAGGTTTGATTCCCAGCATTCACATGGTAGCTCACATTGTAATGCCAATCCCAGGGGATCCAATACCTTCTTCTGGACTCTGCAGGCACCAAGCACACAAGTGGTGCACAGACAGACAGACATGCAGACAAAACACTCATACACATAAAAACAAGTGAGAAAGCAATCAGATTAAAGAATGTGATACTTAATGCACTAGGCTTTAATCAAATGCAGAATGTGTTTTCAAGCAATTGTTAAGTGCTCATAATAATGTTATTTCCATGCTGTTTTAATCACCCATTTATGTGTGATTCTTGACCAAATACTGTTTCAACAGGTACTCATCAGATCAGAGTGAATAAACACAGAGCCTGAGAAATCAGGCTCTAGAATTCAGCTAACTGGCTGGTGTGTACCCCAAGGAGGGAATTCTGCTAGGGTCCTTTCATAGGGACAGGGGATCATTCCTCTGCATAAGGCTGAGGAGGTGAGGCACAGATGGGCTACGTGCCAAGTGCATGACTGACCTTCCTTTTCTCCACAGGGAGTGGCAATGAAAGCCCAACGAGCCGAATCTATCTCACCAATAGCCACGTCTCAATCACAATGCAGAATCCTCACAGTCCAGGAATGTCCAGTCCTGCAGCCACCAGTCAATACCACATCAGATCACAGGACTCCATCCTTGGAGCTGGCTGTGGCTCAGCTGTGTAGTACCAGCCACCAGTCAAGGATTGGGGATGAGGCTCAATATAGAGGGCTTGATAACTATTCATGAGACCCTGGGTTCCACTCTCAGGACCATAAAGTAATAATAAACCTTCAGCTTTTCTTCCTCTGCCCAGATCTGAGTCGATTAGGGAAACAGTAGTGACAGACAGCAAAGCAGACACTCACCCCAGGCAGTGATGACCCAGACTGGGCAATCTGGAACGAGAGAACCTTGGCAGGTCCCCAAGGGGAAACTTGACCCAGTCTATAGTGATTTCTTTCTTGGGGAGGGAAAAATGTGAGATATGAGGACCTGTAAAATTAATCCAAGTCTGGGTTGGCAGAATGGTTTGGTGGGTAAATGATCTCGCTAAAGAAAAATCAGATGATCTGAGTTGAATTCCCAGATCCCACATGAAGGTGGATGGAGAGAAACAAATCAACAAAAATTGTCCTGTGTCCTTTGTACTTGTGCCAAAGCATGCATGGACCCTCCTGCCCCCAAACACACACATACATAAGGGCAAACACAATATATATATATATATACATGCTTTTAAAGAAGAAAGATTGGGGCCAGCGTGGTGACCCATGCCAGAGAGGAGCAAACCTCTTTGAGTTCAAAGCCAGCCTGGTTCATGTAACAACTTCCAGACCAGCCAGGGCTACACAGTGAGACCCTGCCTCAAACAAAAAGAGAAAACGGGAGGCAGTGAAGGGAGTGAGGGAGAGAGGAAGGGAGGGAGGGAGGGAGGGAGGTAATAAATGAAGGTAGGTAAGTTGGTTGTTCAAGTAGTGGACCATGCGGGCACACGTCTGTAATCCCAGCGTCTGGGAGGCTGTAACAGGAGGATTATGAGTTTGAAGCCAGTCTGTGCTTCATGAGATCCCGTCTTCAAACACACCAGAACCCAAACCAAAGAGCTGCTCAGGCTTCTGTGGTCCCGCACATGTCTTACACTCACAAATCTTCCCAGGCTCGTTAGAGGACGTGCCTGAGAACCCTTTGCCAAGCCTTCACTAACTCTAGGACCGGAGGTGTGATCACGTGGTACGCACCTGTGCCTGGGCTCCCTGCCCAGCCACCGCAGCCTGACTCTGTTGGACAGCTGGATCCATAGACATGGCTGTCCTCTCTAGACGCGCAACCTGTCACACGGGATCGTCGCAGACTTCAAACCCGTCTGGGTGCTAGTGCACAAAGCCTCGCTCCTCTCAAGCCGCCTCTTCCTGGACAACGAGGTGTAAAAAAAAAAAAAAAAAATCAGTTTTCCACTGATCTGACACGAGCATCCAGGAGAACAATCACTTGCCCACAGCCACTAAGTCCCAATGCCTTTTTGTCTTGTCTTTTTTTTTTTTTTTTCTTTTCTTCTTTTTGTTAAAGCCCGCGGAAGCACCAGTTTTCATTGGCTGAGCCCTTCTGCGCTATCTCTTCTGGGTAATGTAGTTCGGACAACATGCACCCTGGAAACAAGGATATAGCCAAAGAGATGGAAGCTATAGAAGCGGTATGCAAAGAGTTAAAGGGACTTCTGCAGACACTGTAGTGGTTCCAGATGCGCCAGTGTTTCCATTTCCCTGATCATCAAGGCCACAGTAAGGCGGATTCCTGGGTCTGAATTGGGTATGCATTCCCAAATTTCCCTTCGCATCAGAATGCTCTGCTTAAAAGCCAATGGTGACAATGTCGTATCTGGTGTGTAAAAATGTGAAAACAGTCCAAATTCTGGAAACAAGTCTCCGCGATTCCAAGATGCACTTTTTTTTTTTTTTTTTTAACAATCAGCAAGAGCATTTAATTCTCAAGAGTAAGAGAAATGCAAAGGCACAATGGCAAAATGGCAACCTCAAGAGAAGCTCGCAGGCACCTTTTATACATAGCTAAAGGAATTCTAGAAGCAGTTAGGTCATCCTATCTATGATTGGCTTAAGCAAGGGACAACTATGTTAATACACTTCTAATTGGCTAGGGCTATAGTTTTACCATCTTTGGGCAAGTTTGGTCAATCAAGTTCCAAGGGGGCGGAGGTAGAAGATTTGTCCCTTTGGACATTCGGTCATTTTGGTCATTGCCATGAGATACTGTAGGGGATGGCCCAGGCTTGGTATGTGCTATCTCCTCTGTCCCTGCTGTCAGCGGCATTGAAGATTGAATGTTCATTGTTTGTGACTCTTTCAGAAACTGCTTGCTCAGTCTCAGGAAACTGAAACTGAGGCCTGATCTCTGACAGAAGACTGAGTGTCTGCTTAGCTCTCTCAGTGAATCTACTTCTAGTCCAGAGGTTTGAGGTAGGAACCAAGATGCACTTTCCTTTTCTCCTGCACCCATATTCCTGTCTTTTCTCATGGGCCTAGGAGGTGTCCATTACAGCAGAGCAAAAAAGACAGATCCATAAGCCAGCACACACACACACACACACACACACACACACACACACACACACACACACACACACATACACACACACTCATACACGGTCCCCTGCATCCTTTCCTCTTCCACATTACCACCATCCCACTGTTTCTGAATTCAGAACCAACTCCCCACAGATGGGCAGGGTGCTGCCACTGCTGTGGATAGAAGAAATGCTAAAACTTCATTTTATATTATTCTGTTGCCTTGGACTCCACTATGATTTCTTCGATTCTCCTGACTCTCATCTCTGTATGAAGTAATGATCAACCTCTACAGATTTAAGGAGACTCCAGAAGACAAGAGCTAATGAAATATTCCTCACTCTGGAACATCCTGGAACTGGATGGTGAGTGTTGATTCTGGAAAGAGTGGGAATCAACATTGTTACTATGTGATATGGTAGAGAAAGGTCTAACATTTTTGTTCTTCCTGCAATGCTCGTCATATCCAGCCTCCTTTCTGTTAGACCACCGTGTGCTATGAGGAAGAGCTGATAATGAGGTGTGACTGGCATAGTAAAGCATTGGGACAGTGAGTGGGAAGCCTCCCTTTCTTAAATCAAACAGGAGATAAATCATTAAGTTGGGTATGGTAGCAACAGGTCTTTTATCTCAGTACTCAGGAGAGGCAGAAGCCCGAGATCTCTGTGAGGATAGCCTGGTGTACATAGTGAGCCTCAGGCCAGCTAGGGCTATATAGGAAGACCTTGTCTCAAAAACAACAACAATAATAATAATAGATAAATCATTGTCTTGAAACACATTAGAAAAGTAGATTCTAGACTACTCTTCTCATCTGAGCCATAAAGTGGAGCTGGCCACCATGGCATGGACTTTCATAGATGAATCTGATATGAATGTTATAAAATATGGTCATAGCAAAATTCATAGTAAAATCTGCAGGAAGATCAGAATCCAGAGATAAGAGGATATCACCTAGAGAGATTAACACAGACAGTAGGGAAAATGATAAAGACACCAACAGATTGACTATAAAATATCCAGTGAGTCCATCTCTCGGGAATTTTTCAGGTATGTGGGGGAGCACCAACGAGCCTTGGGGGCTGCTCCAGTGCAACTGGCTGAACCTGAAGACTATCTACTAGCAACAACAACAACAACAACAACAACAACAACAACAAAATCAGTTGCAGGGAGTTGGAGAGTTGGTGCACAGATCAAGAGCACTTGCTGATCTTGCAGAGGACCCCGATTTGATTCCCAGCACCCCCTTGGTAGCCCCTAACTGTCTGTTACTCCAGTTCCAGGGGATCCAATGCCCTCTTCTGACCTCTGAGGGCACCAAGGAACCAGACATGTACATGGCTCATATACAATACATATATTCAGGTAAAACACTCAGACACATGAAATGATAAAATAAATGAATCTAAAATATTTTTTTAATACAATGTAAAAACTTCTCAGGAACATTTCATTGAATGTGCAAGCACATTAAAATACAGGAATAGATTTTGAAGGGGGTTTAATGTTGCTACAGGATTAAACAAATGGGCTATATAAACAGGTATGTATGTGTAGAATTGTAAGAACACCGTCATAGTAGAAATAACACACTACTTACTTTTCATTGTCATTTTCTTCATATAAAATTGTCTCTTTGCTATATTCACATATCTCCTTGAATTTGTGCAATATATTCCAGGACACAGCCTTAAAAACAAGTTGGGTTGAATACATTCAGTGAGTTTTCTCCATAAGCTTCAGTGTCCTGCTTTTGTGAGGGGGACCCCACAGGTGGTCACAGCAGGGAAGTGAACCACGAAAAGGTGCTAATGAAAACTCAATTAGATTGACTATCCACCTGGGTCAAGACATCAAGGAGGCTGATCTCAGGCTGTGTATTCCCAACAAATTTAAACACTTTAATTTGAAAAAAAAAAAAAAGTTTTCCCTGGTGCACAAGGAATCGTATTTACATTGGAACTTGACTCATGGTACATGTCATTTCTTCCCAAAAAATGGCTTCTAGTGATAGGCTACCTGTACTAGTTTAAGGCCCTAAGGAAGGGTCTGGCCTGGGTCTCGGTCATACAGATAGCATAGAGGTCATTTTTGGGCTATTAGCCACCTCTGGTCCTGGTTGTGGGAGCTTGGTGGAGCCTCTTTCTATATAGATAACATTAGGGTCATTTAGACTACTAGGTATCTCTAGTCCTGGTTGTAGGAGCTTGATATGGCCTGACCCAACAGATGATGCAGATCACCAGGCTATTAATTACTCCCAATTCCTAGCTTTCTGGAAAAACAGGTTTTATGTCCTTCCCTTTGAAAGAACAATCCTGGGTGCTTTATATTCTTGAGTTCCCTGGAGATCTGTGGGCACAAAGACCCTTGTACCCCCAACATCCTTGAACTCTTTTTTTTTTTTTTTTTTTTGGTTTTTT